AGAGTTTTTTCCCAACACCAAACTGTCACTTTAACACCTCGACACGTGTTTCGATCACCAAGTGAAAAGCGGGACCAAAATCATTCCAACTGTTTCAATAATGTGTATGATATCCATATAAAAAATTTCATTTGGCGTGGCTCTTTCGAAAAAAGTTATTAATTTTCTTAGAGATTTATTTGATGACCCTGACACCAACGTTGCAAACTACTGGAGTTTTTTCCCAAAGCAAACTGTTACTTTAATACCTCGACACGTGTTTCGATCACAAAGTGATCATCTTCAAGAGAAAAATCAAACTAAATATACTTACAGTATTATCCTTATTTATACCATACATACCTCTTCTAGGTACCTGCGTCTTAAGTGTCTTAAATTAATTTCACCATATTGCCTTATCTACTAGTCTTAAATTAATTTTATAATGTGTCCTTATGTAATAGTCAGGTAAATCTAATAAACAAAATATTATTTTAACAAGCTATAAAGTATACTATTAGGTATTGGTCACCATCGTTGTTCATAATATTATTATGTTTACTTATTTCTACACTCTCATAGATATCTAGATGCCTGTTGTTAACTTGTGTAACTAATATTAATGAACTAAAGTCTATGGAATGGTTTTGTTGCAAAATATGATGGGCGACGGCTGATTTTTCAGGTCTTCCATATTTTAAGTGTGCTAAGTGTTCCTTATATCTTATTTTTATAGATCTTTTTGTCTGTCCATAATATTTTGCATCGCAATCCTTACACTTAATTTCGTAAATTCCAGACTTTTCCGTATCATATGTATTATATGATTTTCACTATATTGAAAATCATACATTAAACTGTAAAAATTACATTTTTTTTATTAAATTCACCTGACTGTCACAAGGACCCTTCGTAAAATTAATTTAAGACTAGTAGATAAGGCAACATTGTAAAATTAATTTAAGACACATAAGACGCAGGTACCTAGAACAGGTATCTATGGTATAAATAAGGATAACTTTGCAAGTATATTTATTTGATCTTCCTCTTGAAGATGATCACTTGGTGATCGAAACACGTGGCGAGGTATCAAAATGACGGTTTAGTGTTGGGAAAAAAACTCCAGTACTAATATTCATTAGTACAACAAAGGTTCCAAACAGTACCACCGTTGAAGTTAATTTTTTTGTATATAGTAATGATAATAAAGCTGGAGTGTATGAGAGAAATAATAATAATATTCATTGACAAACCATACGTGAATACCATAGGATCACAAATCGTCGGTTGTTGAATTATACTATAATCAATTTTTTTCAGAGAATACCGAGTCACTTCTCACTTCACTTAAAATTCTTGGCTTTTGCTTCCAATAGGCGCATTTAGCCAGCTTGATTCGAGGGGGCGCAGCTGTCTTGCACGCAGCAATGCTGCCACCCCTTTTTTATGTAACAAATGTGGCATGAGCTGTGTGGCATGTACTGCGCAATCCTGTTGAAACCACATATCGTTGGTGTCCAGATCATCCGATTCAGGCTAAAAGAAGTTTATAATTATCTACCTATAGTGCTCACCGTTGACATTGATGGCCTGGCCAACGTCGTTCTCAAAAAAATATGTATCGATGATACTGCCATACCCAAATCCACACCAAACAGTGACTTTTTTGGCGCATATTGGACGCTCTTGGATCTCATGTGGATTGGTATCGTACCAAATTCGACAATTTTATTTGTTCACGTACCCAGTCATCCAGAAATGAGCCTCATCGCTGGAGGTGATTTCTGGATGACAATTAGAGTCAGGAACCGCTACTGCTTCACTGAAGTTTGAGAAGATTCTATCTAATAATAATAGTAATAACTGTTTTTATTGACGGGTAAAACAAAAAATACAATGTAAGGATTACAATATATACAATATCCACCCACGTACCTATCAAAAGGCAGAATTCAATTTCTGATCTTGTCACGAATGACTCAATCAGAAGTTGCTCTTCCATTCAACCTCGAAAAAAAAAATAAAATAAAAAATATTGTACATGCACAACATACGTGAATCCAAGATGTATATCAGCGCCAAATGCACCAGAATCATTTCTGTTAGTACTAACAACAATAAAAAAAATAATGAAAATCAAACTGTATGAAATTCTCCTTTACATCAAAATTATATTATTGACAGAGGAGTTGAGGCAATTTGTGTTCCCGTAAGTGAATTTTAGGTTTGTTTCTATAATCTAGCGCGGAAAGCGATTTTATTGAATTGAGAATTCGATTATAAAGCCAGGCCACATTATAAGAAAAGGATCCACGAAGGTTCTGTGGCGGGGTGTAGTTAGTTGATTTCGAAATCTCAGATTCAAATTATGGATGTCTGTTTTATATCTTATTTTGTCGTGAAGGTAACTGGGTATTTTTGTTGTTATAATCTTATGGTAGGTGATACAAGCATGAAATATGCGTCAAACTTCCATTTTTAGCCATCCCAGTCTCTCCAAATGATGAGACACATGTTGTCCCCTCCTAGTTTCTGTAATGAGTCTGATGCATGCATTTTGTAAGGTCTGTATTCTCTTTCAATCAGATAAACGTAATGATGGGTCATATACTATATCTGCATAGTTGGCGTGAGAGAGAACTAGGGCATCGCATATTCTGTCAAAGGCAAATGATGATCGTCCAAAACGATATCGATATTTCTCTCACATCTTTTCCTCATTGCTGTTCGACCAAACAGCAGTACTACTGTTTTGGAGGGATTGATTGTCAGAATGGTTTTGTTGTTTTTATTGAGGTTGAAGAAAATATTATTAATATCCTGAAGACTCAATGGGATCTCAAGAGATTCACTGAGTTCTACTAAGGACTGAGATATGTTATCAGATTGAAGATCAAAGACAATTGTGTTGTTTCTTCTGAGTTTGTTATCGATTTGTATTATCTGGTATTGAAGTTGCAGGTTTTTGTCTTCTAGTCTGGAAATCTTATCATTCTCTGTAGAGCTGTTCCTAAGTTTGATCGCACTTGATATTGATAGTCATGAGAAGCCTGGTATCTGGGTTTTGTTTTGGGGTTCGCTATGACCATATAAAATGTGCACACCGTCCGTGATAGATATTCGATGTATATGAATAGCAGAGTTTTTATACGGAAGAGTTTTTGTTGAAAAACCTCAAGTTACTCTGACAAAGTCAAACAATGATTGATATTACTCAATGATATAGTCAAAATCAGCTCACCAGAATCCTCAGATGGATGAATCACTTGTGGCACAATTTTTCTGCCATAGAACGAAATGCCATAGAACGAAACTACAGTGAAACGGTGAGAAACGGGAGCTCAAGATGATATCACATATCTAGTTTTACAAATATATGACGAAGTTTTCATATATGCAGTCGATCCACAATAAAATCAGTTAAGTCCAGAACATACTGCTGTATCTGTTGAATCTGTCGGGCACTGACGAAGAGTAATACTCTGGAACAGAGCCATAGGTGATCACGTGATTGAATTCAACGATATCCTGCTGATGGACGAAGGAGATACATCTGCAGCAATTTCCTGTGTGAGGAAACTTGCACAAACGTCTGTCGTAGCATTAACCGGAACAATGTTTGTGTTTTCCAGCAGGCATTTGCCATTTTATACTATATGGGTATTTATTTTCTTAAAAAGAGTCAATACCAGTATGTTCATATTCTCGTTTATATTCTTAACAGATAGAAAGTTGAAAATAATGTGATTACAAATTATATTCAATGAACATAAAGGAAAATAATGGTATACAATCAAAGTCTCAGATTCTCATTTTGATGTACAGCTCTTTTAGGAAAATATATTCGAATATTTACGGGTCAAAATAACACCACTGATATACGTTTTGTCCAAGATTCATAATCATATCTCTCTGAGAGATATCTCAAATAGATTGAAAAATATAATTTTCAGTATCATTATCTGGAACTCATATGCTTCAATCATATATTCCTTGAAATCTCTGCCAAATGAATGATTGAATCATTCTTTTGTTATCCCACTTCCAATTTACATCTGAAAAAATGAACTTTTCAATATTTCCTCTGTGAATGAATTCAAAATATGTTTTGGTTCATTTCGGTTATCAATATTAAGAAACATTCTTCATTAATTTTCGATGCCGTTGAAACCATTCATGAATGTCAAACTAGAAAATCCAATAATGTTACTTGTGAAATCAATACATATCAATTTTTCGTCAGAATATTCGTTGAAGAAAACTGCCAAATAGTTCAATTGTCGAATATTATCATCACTGTAAACATACTTATTTGGATCACATTTCGCCTATATTGTAGGTATTCCTGGATATTTTTTGTCGGTGTCTTATGACTCATAAGAAAAATCATCCAACTACATAATACATAATATTTTCCTTCATTCATTACCTTTCTAGAAGGAAATAAATTATTTTTGCACAAATCCTCAATTCATGAACGAATAAAGTTATTGAATCGATCCTACAGAACCAGTTTTTGAATATATGCAAGATAACCATAAGTTCTATTGATTCAAATTTGTATTGTTTTTGGTTTATCGCTATAAAACTTCAGATAGAATAACTGACTTCGTTTTCAAGTTCGAAGTGGTGAATGCGTATTAAAAATTCAACCTTATTATTTTCATATTATTGCTTAGCGCATATGCCCTCTTCCTCTTTTCATATTTCACTCATTCACGATACACTACACTTAAACAAAGCTAAAACACTTACTTTTGTAAATATACTAACCTACTGGATTCATTCGAAGTAAAAGTAAGAGAAATTCAATTTCGTTCAAGAACTTCGAATGGAATCAAAATGAAAAATAACTTTGTACTATTAGTGACCAAAATGTTGGAACGCGATTTTCTTAACGAATGATAAAAATATATCCAGCATGTAAAACAGTAACAATGATCAAATCGCTTTCCATCACCAGCATCTCTACTAACATATCGCTTTGTTCACCTTCTCTGAGCTTTTTCTGAATATTACAGTGAAATAGGATACTTCTACAAACCTGTGGAAACGGATTACATCTGTAGCAGAAACAACAACTCGGGCATGCATTTCTGCACAAATCTTCCTCCATTCAAGAATGGCTCGCAACCGTGTAACCTTACAGTAGAAGAGAAAAATCTTCCTCAGTATCGGGATGATGATAAATATTGCATCAATTGGCATCAGTATTATACACTGTGTTCGGATAGGAATCAAAATCCATTTCAAGATACCATTTCTTTCGATAATATTGGCTTAGCGTGGATAGCAATTTTTCTGGTAAGTTTGTTTTCTGCATGCCTAAAAATTTGTAACTGTGTCGATCCCTATCATATTCATTNAACCACTTTCAACTTTTTTTCCAATTGGAAAGGAGAGTGTTGTGATATTTCGTCTGAAATGTATCTTAATTCACTATATAATGACTTTCATTTCGCAACTCCACCACTCTACGTCAGATTTTTTGAAATGAAACATATTTTGTGATAGATGAACGTTAATTTCAAGGTCATAAATGATAGCATTTAATTTCGACCTCGTTATCATTTACTCACCTTGAACATTAAAAATTTATTTGAACAGATATTTAAAAGGTCTCTTTGATTCCCCTCACAGTAAAATAGTCTATTTACGAACTCATTTCAAATCTTTAGAAATGTTTTTGGGGTAATTCAGCCTCTAAGTTCCCGTATTGGCATTAGTTGCATAACATAGGTTTCGATTTGATATAGACTCATAGAAAAAAATCGGGAGGATTCAAATTCGATGTACAAGCAGGCTATTCAAAAGGACCGCGCATACCAATCCAACTCCTGGGTTTGTCTGATCCAATCAATCCCTTACAGACCTGAAAAGATGTGAGGACGCACCATCTTGTTGAAAACAACTGGATTCTCGAATCCGTCTTGATTGTTGACCACAATTCGAAATAAATGGATTTGGAAGAATTTCCAAATGTAAATAACCAGTCAGATTTTCCCCCAGGAATATGGGGCCAACAATATGATTTTCCAATATTCCTGCCCAAAAATATGTGGGTTCATGTCTGACCAATATAATAATAATAGGTCTTTATTCCCATAATGATACAATAAATATGTGTGAACATTTACTGAAACGAGAAAGGCTGAAGATCAGTTGGTTGTATACAAAGATGCAATCCCTGTTTTTCATCTTAGGCCATTTCATCGCGCATTCTGATGATTGATATTTTCGTTGTGCATCATTGAAATAAATATTTTAAAGCAGTTTAGCTTTGCGATCAAACGCTCGGGCACAAAGCTGCATTTTTCTGTCAGAGTCGTAGTCAAATAATTCAAGTTACATGTTCAGTTTATAGGAGTGAAATTTATATCTTCTGAGGTATTTCTTGACGGTGGTTGTTAAAACATCATTCTCACGAGCAACTGTTGTCGTGGACTGCAGGGACTGTTTCTTATCCAAGATAGACTTCCTTCCAGCTCCTCTAACTCTAGGTACACTTCTAGTTGTAATTAAAAACGTGCAAGCTATTCCCCGAGATATTTTCGACGGATCGCATTATCAGGAAATCTTCCGGTGAACACCCTTCCTACCTCATCAAAATAATGGCCAGCCTCGGCGTAAATTGTTTCTGTTTTTCTCTCTAAAGTTCTACCGCGAACCATTTTTGAAAATATTAACGAAATTAAATGAAGTAAATTCTCAGTATCAAGCTGTCAAAGTAACATAGTTCGTATCCTCATCTACATAGTTGATCACAAAAAATCCTGAATTGGGTTGAAGACAGAAATGCACTTTTTGTCGAATACTTTGATTCAACACATTACAAACTTTGTGTAACCTGTGATAACTTACTTTGGAGCTGTTTCAATCATCCTTTCGATGCAAAGTTAGTTAAAATATCATTTTACCTAGTCTCAAATTCATACATCAATAACTTTGTAACCGGTTATCCAGGTTCAAAACAGTAGAGGTCGTTGTATACACATCGTTGGCTATTCATACAAATTTCGTTCAACTTTGATATCTTGCCCCGTTCAAAAGAGGAGGGGGGATATTTACGACCGCACTATATTTCAAAACCTATAGAAAGAACGGTCAAAGTTATTTGAGCCAATACAGAAGGGCCCCGTTAATCCGGAGAGGCAAAAACAGGACACTTTCCGGATTTGTTGCTACTTTCGATATTCACAATAAAGCAATATTCATCTAAATTTTATCAAAATATTTTCTGATAAACGTTTTTGTACTTCAAATTTTTTTTTCAACAAAACTCTGAATATAATCATAAGTGGTTACAAATGAATCACGTTATATATTTCTAGAAATGAAAATATAGTATAAAGTGTATTCTTTTTTTTTTTCAGGTAATATCTTTAGAAGGTTGGACTGAAATTATGTATTATGTTCAAGATGGTCACAGCTTTTGGGACTGGATCTATTTCGTTCTTCTAATAGTGGTAAGAAGAAGTAATATTGTGCAAAATAGATCCATTCGGATACTTTCACATAAGCTTGGCTAAAATCAACCAATGTAAATCAAGGTGTAAATAACAATTTGAAATTTGTTCTACAGCTTGACATAATTGTTGTTGTCTTTAAAAAGTGGGAGATTTTACAGCAACTCCATTGAAATTAGAATATTTCTAAAGTATTTCATGTTGTTTTTGAGGTTTCAACTCAAAAATCTTTGAAAAAATGTGAATCTGTATTTTGTGAATTTCAAAATCTTATTCAATAGATATGTATATTCTCACGTTTGCTAATAACCAGAACAGGAAAATAACCATACTGACTTCAATTTAAGAGCCACCGGTAGACAGCTATTTCAGCCTATTGGGCATCGTCAGTACCGGGCAGGCGGTCCTCGATTGAAGACAAAATGTGAATAACCAAGAAAAGTACTTGATAAAAATAACTGCGTAAACACCAATAGGTGGTTCCACTTATATCTCGTTTGAGACTTTGTGGGTACGTGTGGCAGATACCCAATGGAAAAAACAACAACTAACCCAGCTAATGCCGCACAGAGAATTGAAGTAAGTCGCAAGTTATTTCATGGTGGGAAATAACTTGCGACGAATCTTCCAAGTCGAAGACGTTACACAGGTACCTGATGGTTCTACTTCAACTCTCTGTGCGGCATTAGCTGGGTTAGTTGGTGTTTTTTCCGTTGGGTATCTGTCACACGTACCTATGAAGTCGTAGGTCTGCATGAGAGGAAAGGGGCAACCTTCATCATGTCGTAATGCACCTCTCCGGATATTTTGACGGGTGACGGGTGACGGGTGACGGGTGGTCAAACAACGCGAAACTGGTCTGCAAGTGTGTTCCAATAATTGAAAATCTATTGCGGCAGTTGTATCGTCAACAGCATACACAGGAATAACTTCAGTGAAGAAACCTGTACTAACACCTATCGGATATAATCCAATGCCCTTCGTGGTATTATCCAGAGGATTAATGGTTTTCTGATAGGTGTCAGTCCATTAACCTACAGTGTAGGAAGTTGAGACTGGCCTGAACGAATTGTTCCTTAAGATGATGTTTGAAATGCCGTGTTATTTTTTCAAATATGCGGAAAACGTTTCAGTATCATTTTTCACTGTAGAAACGCTTCATTCTAATAACGTTATATAATGTTGGAATCGCTAGATCTACGTGTAATTGGGGATTATCGGATATGAAACCGATTATTACTAATGGAGGTGGGTGATAGTGCTAATAATAACAATCCTGAATCCTAAAAAGAATGTGTTCAACTATAAAAATTTCTATTTTATCAGTTTTCTAATTGAAAATGTTCCTTTCAGATCGGTTCTTTTTTCATGATCAATCTCTGCTTGGTCGTCATAGCAACCCAGTTCTCGGAAACAAAAAAGCGTGAAATGGAGAGAATGCGTCTAGAAAGAGCCAGATTTCAAAGTAGCAGCACTTTGGCTTCTTCCACAAATAATAGTGAACCGAATAGTTGCTATGCCGAAATTGTGAAGTACATCGCACATCTATGGAGGAGGTCAAAACGGAGACTTTTAAAGAAGATCCGGCTCTATAGGGTGAGGAGAGAGCAGAGGAGGGACAAGAAAATGCTTGCGGGAGAGACTATAAGACTTAACTATGCGAGGAGGCATCATCCTAGTTGTCCTAAGATGAGGCGAAATGTAAGTAATGTAAGTTGAAACACTGCAACAATAAGTAGCTAATTATTTTCAAAAAATATCATATTTATAGATATCTCTCTAGAGATATGTTCTTTCAAAAAGTGGTGGAGGGAAAGGGATTACATAAGCGCTTTCAAACTCATTTCATCAAAGGCATTGCTATTGCAGAATGTGACTCAAACTGAAACTGAAAACGCACTCCAAAAGCCTCTTCGTCCATGCAGCTAAAGTTCGTTCAAGGTCGAATCCTTGAATTTTTTAAATAGCCTCGTGAATCAATGAAGGTCGTTCAAACACTACCTCAAAGTCACCTTCTCTGCCATGTTCAAGGTCGTTCAAGGTCAAACTTGAAACACTTCCTCAAAGTCACCTTGGCTCGCTCGTGCGACGTAGCATCTGTCTTTAACACGCGGATGATGTTTCTATATTTGATATTGGAAATTGAATTTCTCAGTATGAAGAGAACGTCTACGATCCAAAAACTACAACAAAAAATACAGGTCCGTATTTAAAAATTCAAAAATGGGGGTGGCCCAAGTCAGATAACACCCTGTATAAAAGATTCATGGATATATTCTGAGAGCTCACATCAAGTGCCGGTAGCAAAATGTGAACAGACTTTCAATATGTCTGCGAATAAAGAAGATATAGGCAAAAAAATAATTTGGGATTTTTTGGTTTTTCCTGTATATCTCCAGAATCAAAAGAGCTATGTTCGATTTCTTTACATCATTGAATAGGTCTCTAAAATACGCAACTTTGCCATAATTTAACCGACACTCTATCTCTTATCGTTTACGAGATCCGCATGTACAGAAACGAATTTGAATAGCCCTGTATAAAGACATAAAAATGAACTCATACAAAAAAACTCACAGAGAAAGGAGTTCGGAAATGTCGAATCATATTAAGACTGAATAACATAAAATCAGGAAATTTATAGCCAGGGTCTACTACAGAGACTCAAAGATATGTCAGTGGAGATTTTTCAGCTAGATTTTCACTGGATTTGTTCGAATTTTCATGTATTCCTCTGTTTATAAATTTGATCTTGTTGAAATGTTATACAAAAAAAACTACTGAGATTAATTCCTTCATCTCTTCTGCAAAAGTTTTCGAAAAATATATCTTTGGTTCTTCTGTGTTCACCGAAATGTTTTTCATTGTTTCATATATACTCTTGGCCGAATTGAAAAACTTTTCAAGTTCCTTTCGCAAAAAACTCAATCCATCTAGGGCCACCGGGCCTTGATTGTTCTGCACTCACTTCAATTGAACACTTCAATTGGCCGTAAAACTAACTGAAAGCAAGTTATATTTTTCTAACTATTTATCTGGTCGTTACTAGCAACTCACAAGCTGATATTATTATGTATAAGTTTGCGCTAGTCAAGCCCTATCCCCCGAAGCCCTGATACATTCAAGAGGACTTGCCAGCATCCACTCCTCCCACCATTTGGTGAGTGATCATTGGGTCCAAGAATCATGTGCCCTGAGTAAGCACAGTGAGCTAAAACTGACAGCCTTCAGCATTTGTCCGGCAAAGACGTCTGCTTCAGTGCGGCAAGCCAGCATTATTTTGAGATTCGAGAGTAGGAAGGACAGTCATTCAAACAGACCAGTGCACACTCGAGTAACTATGTCCGAATTGAACGACGACAGGAGGGTTTATGAGTCTGTGGCTTTGGTGTGTTGCGAAGTAATAATTCTGTTTGTGAATTCAAGCTTGAGAGGAGTCAATATTAATGAGTGTTTATATTGAAAACTTACTAAGTACATGAGATACTAACCCAACCTAACAAATGGCAGAATTCAAAATCTGCACATGATAAATCAACCATCCAATCATCCATTAAAAATCTTCCATCGGCTAGGCAAGACTGGGTCAGATTTTGTCATTCAGTCATAATAGCAGGGGAGCCCACGATGCAAAATGGGGATTTACTCGAGACATGTTAGGTTGCAAAGCTTAAATGATAAGAAGAAAAAAATGTTATATAATATATACCTCTTCAGCGGTGGGGGAAGCGGCTATAGATTTACAAATATGTAAAAAAATACTGTTGCATGGACATACTCGAGCGCGTCAGATATTGATAGCATCAATGTCCTACATATTTTTAATAATGTTGGTATGTTAATCTGATCGTTTGCATGATGTGGGTGGTTGTACGTAAGGGTTAAAAGTGCAAAGAAAAAAAATTAATCAGCGCCAAATGCACCAGAATCATTTCTGTTAGTCCTAACAACAATAAAAAAAAACTAATGAAAATCAAATTGTATGAAATTCTCCTTTACATCAAAATAATATTATTGACAGAGGAGTTGAGGCAATTTGTGTTCCCGTAAATGAATTTTGAGTTTATTTCTATAATCTAGTGCGGAAAGCGATTTTATTGAATTGAGAATTCGATTATAAAGCCAGGCCACATTATACGAAGAGGATCCACGAAGGTTCTGTGGCGGGGTGTAGTTAGTTGATTTCTAAATCTCAGATTCAAATTATGGACGTCTGTTTTATATCTTATTTTGTCGTGAAGGTAACTGGGTATTTTTGTTGTTATAATCTTATGGTAGGTGATACAAGCATGAAATATGCGTCGAACTTCCATTTTTAGCCATCCCAGTCTCTCCAAATGATGAGACACATGTTGTCCCCTCCTAGTTCCTGTAATGAGTCTGATGCATGCATTTTGTAAGGTCTGTATTCTCTTTTAATCAGATAAACGTAATGCTGGGTCATATACTATATCTGCATAGTTGGTGTGAGAGAGAACTAGGGCATCGCATATTCTGTCAAAGGCAAATGATGATCGTCCAGAACGATATCGATATTTCTCTCACATCTTTTAACACTGTTTTGGAGGGATTGACTGTCAGGATGGTTTTGTTGTTTTTATTGAGGATGAAGAAAATATTATTGATATCCTGAAGACTCAATGGGATCTCAAGAGATTCACTGAGTTCTACTAAGGACTAAGATATGTTATCAGATTGAAGATCAAAGACAATTGTGTTGTAAGTTACTCTGACAAAGTCAAACAATGATTGATATTATTCAATGATATAGCCAAAATCAGCTCACCAGAATCCTCAGATGGATGAATCACTTGTGGCACAATTTTTCTGCCATAGAACGAAACGCCATAGAACGAAACTGCAGTGAAACGATGAGAAACGGGAGCTCAAGATAATATCACATATCTAGTTTTACAGCTGATTAACGGAAACACAGATTTTAAACAGATTTTTTAAACAGAAACAAATATATGACGAAGGTTTCATATATGCAGTCGATCCACAATAAAATCAGTTAAGTCCAGAACATACTGCTGTATCTGTTGAATCTGTCGGGCACTGATGAAGAGTAATACTCTGAAACAGAGCCATAGGTGATCACGTGATTGAATTCAACGATATCCTGCTGATGGACGAAGGAGATACATCTGCAGCAATTTCCTGTGTGAGGAAACTTGCACAAACGTCTGTCGTAGCATTAACCGGAACAATGTTTGTGTTTTCCAGCAGGCATTTGCCATTTTATACTATATGGGTATTTATTTTCTTAAAAAGAGTCAATACCAGTATGTTCATATTCTCGTTTATATTCTTAACAGATAGAAAGTTGAAAATAATGTGATTACAAATTATATTCAATGAACATAAAGGAAAATAATGGTATACAATCAAAGTCTCAGATTCTCATTTTGATGTACAGCTCTTTTAGGAAAATATATTCGAATATTTACGGGTCAAAATAACACCACTGATATACGTTTTGTCCAAGATTCATAATCATATCTCTCTGAGAGATATCTCAAATAGATTGAAAAATATAATTTTCAGTATCATTATCTGGAACTCATATGCTTCAATCATATATTCCTTGAAATCTCTGCCAAATGAATGATTGAATCATTCTTTTGTTATCCCACTTCCAATTTACATCTGAAAAAATGAACTTTTCAATATTTCCTCTGTGAATGAATTCAAAATATGTTTTGGTTCATTTCGGTTATCAATATTAAGAAACATTCTTCATTAATTTTCGATGCCGTTGAAACCATTCATGAATGTCAAACTAGAAAATCCAATAATGTTACTTGTGAAATCAATACATATC